ACACCGCAGGAGGAAGGGTGAGATTTTAGCTCTGAGCTCTGACCTCTCGGCTTTCTCTTTTACATTGTTTCTGTATTTCTTATTTAATAAGATTGCTGGTTACATCTACATACATCCACATAAAACCTGACAAAGCTAAAATAGGATTCTAGACACACAGGAACGGAGTCAAGCATGACTTCTTGGTAGCTGTCTTTTCTCTGGTGGGCTGTTCGCTGGCAGCCAGCAGAGGCACAGCTAACTTAGGAGATGGTTTTCTGGCTCGGTGCTCACAGCAAAAATGGGCAGCTCTTTTAAGAGCCACTTATATAGTGTTTATAAGCAGCCATGGGACACGTTACTCGGTGATGGTGTGGACCTAGAAACTTCCCAGAGTTGGAGTGGTAAACATGGCTCTCAGAGCTGGCAGGAAAGGTGCCTCCACCATGAGAATAGACTAGACCTGGGGCAGAGGAGCTAGCACCAGCCTGCCATGATCTAAGTTACACAGCAGTTTTTTGCTCATGCAGACAGAAAAGGTTACAGATGCAAAATAAAGACAAATTCAGACAAAAAAAGAAAAGAAAAGCCTCTAAACAGGTTACAGTGTGTTTAACATGCATAGGCTTGGGAGAGGAAAGAAAAGGGGTAAAGAAAATTCTTAAAATAAGTCATGTAAAGATGGAAAATGCACAGAGAGTCTGGATACTTTATGTTATTGCATTGTCTTTTATGTTTGTTGAGGAAGGAGCAACAGCTGCTAAGAGATGTTTGATTATTAGTGTTGCTGGATTAATCTAACTTATATATTTTAAAAATGTCTTGACTCCAAAATTTAAGTCAAAAGATATGTTACTTTGGGAAAGAGGTTCTGCTTTTATTACCACAGAAAATAAGAGGCTGTTGATTCATTCTGGGTTAAGGAAAATCAGGTTTGGTTGAGGAAGACCCCCTGAAAATTCTCCAATAGGAATGGATAGCCCAGATGATCCAACATTTCAGAGTATCTCTCTTGCAGTTTCCTCTGAGTTCTGCATCCAGAACAGCTTGAAGGCTGCTGGCTGAAATGATCCAGCTTCACAGACTACTCCAATCAGGACTTGACCATAATCCTGAATTTTTTTAGGGTCCCCCAAAGATTACCAACACTCCCAATTAGTGGGAAGTAGGCTAGAGAACTACACCCACATTCCCCCAAATAAATTATAAATGTTTGTCATTGTTTGAGGGGGTTGTTTACAAGTTGTTATGGATAATGGTCAGGAAAAAAGCTGAACAAAGGAGATTAGATTCAGGGATATTGTTCTGAAAAGAAAAACAGGGGAAATAGAAATGATAAGGTAAAAAGGTAGATTATTGAATCTACTTTAATCCAAAAACAACTATTAATCTTACATATTTTACATTAGTATGGATTTTGGTTTATTGATCAAAATTTAAAGTTAATTTTGTTGTACTGTATGTATATTTCTACTCTTACTTAGGGTGTTATGTTTATGCAGCTGATTAAAAAATGTAATGTATATTTTAGAATACAGATTAATAGTCATCTATAATAATCAAACTTACAGGCATATTAGTGAGGTTTTCTAGGTATACAAAGGTATGTTTCAATTAGATAGGTAATCTTAAAACACTTCAAAGACCTACAGAATATCGCATTTAAAATGTCTTAAGAACTAGACTTTTCTTGACAGTGAGACATGCTCCTGGCAGCACCAATTACTTCAAAGAGGATGATGAGAATCAAAGAAACTCCATAAGGAGTTTGCTTTCAATGTGGCAAGGCTAGCCATTTGGGCAAGAAACTGGTCTTGCCTGGATTGCCTAACAATATGCTGTATAAACTGGCCATGTAGGACCCATAGGAAAATGACTGCTAAACTTTGCCAAATCAAGATGGGATGGCCATCCAGGTTCCTGCTTCACAGAAGAAACTGCCAGACATTCTTCAGGACACCGAGGAAAGCAACTGATGAACTTTGCCAATATAGGTGAGACAGTCCCTCAAATTTCCTGCTTCACTAAAAAGTCTGCTAGATACTCTAGGCCTATAGACTGAAGATAGATGCCCCAATGTTACAGAAAAACTTAAGTGAGTATCCAAGCAGCCAGATGTCTCTGTCATTTCTAGAGTTTTAGAAGTTGCTTGCAATGCACTTCCTATTTGTTCAGGTAATAGTATATCCTTTTGGGGTCTTTCACAGAGTTGAGGACTAGATAGTTATAGTTTTACTTAGTTATGATAAAAGGTAAATTAGATACAAAACTTTAGACTCACCAAGATAAGATAGAGACTTGAGTGTTTTCTCTAATTTTGTCAAATACAAATAGAGACTAGATATTGTAACTACAATTCTTACTTGATAACTGTTGTTATATAATTTTATAATGTTAAAGTTAAAACTTTTCTTTTTGATTAGACAAAAAGGGGAAATGCAGTGGAATGTCCTTCTGTATGCTGTGAATCTGTGTTGCTCTCATTGATAATAAAGCAGTTTGGGCCAGGGTGAGGCAAGATAAGGTTAGGCAATCAAACTGAGGATGGAGATGAAGAAGGGTGGAGTCAAGGGGATGCCAGCTAGCCACTGAGGAAGCGAGATGTATAGAAAATGAGGTAAGCATAGATAAGAAATATGGGTTAATTTAAATGTAAGAGCTAGCTACTAATAAGCCTGAGCCCTTGGCCTAGCATTTATAATTAATACAAGCCTCTGAATGGTAATTTGGAAAGTGACTGATGGGTATAATCAGGCATACAGAACAGAAAGTTCTGTCAGTGGTTACAATTTTCCTTTCTGTCTTACCTTAAGGAATTCAATTTCCCAATTGAAGCTCAGGCATGATTTCTGACCCAGTTAAGGCAGTGAAGGGAAGGGAGAGAGGCCTCCTTCTTCCTCAGTCAGTATTTAAAGGACCTCCTCACCTGGGGTGACCCCGACAGCCTTCAGTTAGGACTACCGAGAGCGACTAACAGGGGCACAGGGTAGCTCATCACCCCACCCTAAAGCTCAGCCAGGTGAAGTGGCCACAGGCCTTCCTTACCCCACACTACCTCCAGGTGCCCAGCTCATATGGCACTCCCCCAGGCAAGGGACCAGCTCTCCTGTCTGCACTGTATCTGGAGCCTCCAGAGACCAGGCCTGACTGAGTAGGAGGAAGGAGAAGCAGCCCGGGTAGAGGCTAGGGTATCCCTATTCCCGCCTCCCCACCTGCTGTGACTTGGTGTCTGGACAGCAGGCAGTGGTCTCATTGGAAGGAGACTGTGATGTGGGAAGCTCATTAGAATGAACCAAGTCTGGGCTAAGTTCAGAAGTTTCCAGATTTCCACATGCTGGCTGAATTGTGGACAGGAAGTTGATTCATTCCTTCCTTTTCCTCATCTCTGAAATGGTTGATACATGCATCGCACAGAAGCTATAGCATTCAGTTAGGGACTGCCCGTGGGTGCACTTTCAGAGAGAAATGGTCCCTCACAGTGGTTGGCTTGAGGACTTGAGGCAGTGGAACCTGATGGTGGGGTGGGTAGGATATGCTGGATGGCTTAACAGATAACACAGTTGTGATCTGATCAAATAATAGCCAGATGGTCTTGAAGTGGCTCCACTTCACAAGGCTGTGGCCTACCTGAGCCTGGACACAAGCTCTATGCTGTGAGGCTGGGGATGGAGAGAGGGTCATATTGAATGATCCCGGGGACTGACGTAGATGGTGATGAGGAAGCGTCTCTGGGTTCTGGGAAGCAATAGATGCTCGGGGACTATACGCCAAGGTGAATGACTAGGGAGGGGTTTACACAAGGACAGCTCACAGGATTAGAGCAGCGGAGGTTTCAGGATCAAGGGTCTAGGAAGACCTGCTGATTGCAGGGACCCCAGTGGTGCGACCAAAGATGGCCTGGCCTTTCCAGCGCTGGCAGGTGTTTTCCTTGTGGGGCTTGCAGAGTGAGTCTGACCCAAGGGACCAAGCAGTGGTGGGGACTGCATGCCCTTAGTCACCTGTCCCCTAGTGAGCTGAAATCCAGAGGTGTGCCCGATCTCTTTTCTGCACCGTTGGCCTGAGGTCACGGAAAAGCAAATAGATCAAAACCAACAACAACAACACACACACAAAATAACAAAAACCCCACATTCAGTCTACAGACTTTTGAATCATTTGAACACATGAAAAGTATAAACTTAATATAGTTAATATTCTTATGCTGTTGTCAATATTTAATAATCTTGGAAAGGCTTTTATTAAAATTGAATATATTTACAGTATATCTACTCTGATATACTGTAATATATATGTATATGTATATACATAATGAACTATTGTTCCAGTAAGCTATTAGTATATCTGACTTTGCATTGCGTATTTATTGATTGACTGATTGATTGATTGATTGGCTTATGTATGCAGATGGGCATGCATGTGGAGGGCAAAGAATAACGTGAGGTACTCAGTTCTCTTCTTCCACGCTGTGGGTCCTGGGGCTCGAACCAGGTTGTTACGATTTGTCGGCAAAGTGCCTTTACCCACTGAGCCACCTTCCAGCCCAGTAGTCTATCATTTGAGTCACACTTGTGTGTGTGTGTACGAATTTGGTGAGAACACTTTGACCTAATGTCTGCATATTTCGAGTGTGAAAACATTAACTACAGCCCCAGCACTGTCCTTTGGATCTCTAGCACTCACTCAGTCTGTGGAACTGAAGCTTTGTACCCCGCTGATGAAAATCTCCCCCTTTCCTCCAACGCCTTGCCCACGGGGACCAACATTCTACTTCCCTGCCAAGTCAACATCCTTAGATTGAGAATGTCGAGGTCAGAGGAGCACTGAGTGTGCCAGCAGTTACAGAGACAATTAGATCACGAGGCTCTGATGTAATGAATGGAACTGTTCCTCAATGGATTCATAATATCATGGCCTTATTGGGAAAGTGGCAAAGGGTAGGAGGTAGGGCCTAGTTGGAGAAAGTGGGTCACTGGGGGCAGTCCCTTGTGGGCATTGGATCCCCTGGAGCTTACACTGAAGGTGGTTGTGAGCCATCATGTGGGTGCTGGGAATTGAACCTGGGTCCTTTGCAAGGGCAGCCAGTGCTCTTAACTGCTGAGTCGTCTCTCCAGCTCTGATGTCTTGTTTTAAATGATGTGGTGGTGGTGGGCGTGTCAGAGCCTGCAGCGACCAGAGGTATTGGATACCCTGGCGGTGGAGTTACAGGCGGTTGTGGCCCACATGACATAGGTGTGGGGAACAGAACCTGGGTCCTCTGCAAGAGCAGCATGTGTTCTTAGCCACTGAGCCATCTCTCCACCGCTGCCTCTGGGTTTCTTAGTGATGGCTTGTCTTTTATATGCTTTTTTTTTTTTAAATTTTAACTAGGCAAAGAATTTTATTAACCCCTTTCCAAATTTTCTTTCCAGGCTTCTTCAGCTTAATTGGCTGCAAAGAATAAATTGTGTCTAAGCAAAAACTGAGCTGCAGAGTCCAGGGGACTCTTGGGCTTAAAAATATTGGAGAGCTAGATTTTATCCCTAAACAAAAGAAGTTTACAAAGCAGTCATGCTATAAAATAGCAGCTCCTGTGACTTCGGCAAGTGTCACCATCTTCAGAAGTCAGCTCAGTTCAGTTTGCCTTGTTCTTAGGAGGCTCCTCAAAATTCCCCACCAGATCTGGAACTTCATCATCATCCTCTCCAGCAGCAAATGGTCCTTTTCCATCCACAGACCTGGCAGAGCTTCGCCAGTCTCCTTACTCTAGGCAGACCGTCTGGCCCAAGCTGATGTAGAATGCTGAGAAGCATGAGTGTCAGCTGATTTGTTAGAGCATGCATGACCTGTGACAGTGAAGGTGTGTGCCATGAAGGTGTGTGCCGTGACGGTGAAGGTGTGTGCTGTAATGGTGGAGGTGTGTGCCGTGATGGTATGTGGTAAAGGTGTCTGCTTTGATGGTGTAGGTGTTTGCTGCCAGAGACGCCTGAGTTTTCTGGTTGTTAAAATGCATTACTGTCCTTTTTAGTAAACATGTTCACCTCTTCAATATCAGGGCTGTCGTTCACCCCTAACTTCTTCAGGAAGAACTGAAGTTTTTTATCGTCTGCTGTGTCTGTTCTGTGAACCACTTTCTTTCTGCAAGCAGTTCCTTTCCCACCAAGGCACATTTGTGCCTGCAGTTTGGCAAGGTTTTCCTGGGTCATGGAAATGGGACCTCATGAGGAACTAGAGTTCATGCTCAGGGGGCCTCGGGCAGACCAGCTGAGATAAGGCACGCACACATGGGGATGCCAGACAGCAGCACATCTTCCATATTCTTATATCCTTATTCTAGGAGCTGCTACAGACATGAGAAGCGAAGGAAAACAATTTCTTTATACACAGTTTGCTTTAATAGCCATCCGAAAGACTGTGTAGCATCCTCCTACCCACCTGTCTGCACATTATGACCTTCAACACCTGGCCATAGCAACATATATATCTATATTATACATTTATACACACACAGCCACATCCTATGAGCACTGTGAAGACGCACAGTCTTCAATTCAGAACAGGCCTCGCCATGGCATTAAAAGAGGAGCAGGTGTGCTGTATGCTTTGGACATTCAACGGGCATGATGTGGCCGCCAGTCTCCAGTTCCCCCGAGGGGAGTTAGGATTCCAGGGGACAGCACATTTAAGGGACGCCCGTTCAACTTGAGATCATATAGGAAACAGAAGGTGCTAGGCTAAGCGTGGGGCACCCAGAAGTCACCACGTCTGCTGTGTAGACTCAAAGAACTCTGACGTGGTGTTGCAGATCAAAGTGCTACCTGGCTTGGCCCATAGGGCTGGCCTAGATTAAGAGTCAGTTTGTGAGGGGACTTTGGTGAGCCCCAACACTGTCCAGCAGGGCACTGCCACTCAATTAGTGTGCTTTTACAACTGTCTGAGGAGCTTCAGTGTTGGGACCACACACCCTGTTTTGTGGGCGTCGAGGTCCTACTTCCCCTGAGTTGGCCGTCTTGAGGACAGACGCTGAGGCAAGAACCGTGATGAGGAGGGTGCCGGCGCCACGGAGGCTGTTTAGAAGCAGAGCCGCGAGGCCGTCTATGCAGTCTACGTCAGTTTGGCTTAGTGCTGGGCCCAGCGGGCCTTGGCTAATCATATTCACTGCTGCCAGGATGCCACTCTCGCCTGCCTGTCCCGTGGGGACACACCTCTGAGCCCTTTTCTGGACCTCCAGCAGGGGAGGTGTGGGACAGGCATCCCTCAGCAGATCGGCAGCTGCACAAGAGGAGGGCAGGCCCACCCTTCCTGCTGCTTTAAGGACTTGTGGCTTCGCTTCTTGTGTGGCTCCTGGAAGACAAGGGTCACAAGCCTGAAGTGCACGGCCGAGCCCTTAAGGATTTCACCTGCGGACAAGAAGGAGGCAAACTTCGTCAGTCAGCGTCAGTCAGCGGGAGTGGTCAGCCCCTGCTGGAGGCTGGAGTCAGAGGCAAGTGTGCTGAAGGCAGGAGCCTGAGAGCTGGTTAGGAGGACAAGCACAGGGCCGGGGGCGCCGGCCCGGAGAAGCTCCTGAAGCCTAGATTAGCTGGAAGCCTCCCACACTCCTAGAGTCTTGCCTCTCACGCCACTGTACACTGAGTGGCCAGACCCCCATCGCTCTCCCGTCAGGAGTCGGATCATGCTCCAAATCAAGTGGTCTGAAGCAAACAAACAAAAAAAGAAAGAAACCCAAAGTGCCTTTTCTATCTCTCAAGAAGTGCTGAGCCGGAGATGAGCAGACACATAAGGAGCCCTCTCTCTGTAGAAGGGGAAGATGTGCAGCAGGAAGTCCTCCTGGTAAGTGCACATCCCCGTTGTCAGTGGGGGCGAGTTGGCAGGGCCTCGGAGATAATCTAAGATGAGTTCTACCAGCCAAAGCCACACAGCCAGTTAGTGACAGGCCTGGGGCCTCGCTTAGGCCCAGGCCCGTGTCCCTCCCCCACGGGCCTAGGAACTAGAGAGGCAAGCTTCCACAGGCTCGGGCCAGCGGTGCCGGAGGCGGCCGGGTTACCTTAGCTGGGACGGGAATATGGCTGCATGGAGGGAATCTTGTAAGTGCAGTGCTACAGAGGCTCGAGAAAGAAAGGAGAGTATCAGAGAAGAAACGGGAGTGAGACCGAGGCCAAAGAGCGAGCTGTCCCGGCCCAACCCCACGCCGCCGCAGGGGCACTGCCGCAGGTGGGTTAGGAACTTTCTGGGCAGCTGCTGGGCTGCTTTGGCGGCGTCAAGTCTACGTTCAGAGAACAGTTTCTGATCTTTAAGCCCCAATCACACACACCAAGTTTTCCCTCGCCCTGCTTCCCGGGGAAGGTCCGGCACTTTTAGCATTTGAGAGTACTGTGGAGAATGTCTACTAGGGATAGAGAGTCTTTCGCCTTCGGGGGCAGTGTTTATCTTCAAGTTTTCTTCTAGATCAAGGAGGCTACATAAAGATTTTAAAGACAAGGGTATGCCCAACCTCTCAGCAATGGTAGCGGGGTCAATTTGCAAGGTCCGGTCTACTTTGATTTTTTTTTTTTTCCCACAGAGCCCTTGAGGAAACTCCAGTGCTCGCAAAAGGCCTCATAAGCAGACACCCAATGTCTCTGCCCTCAGGAGGCCCCTGTGCTGTATTTCCCCAGCTTCCTCACCCCACAAGAAGGACAGAGAGCTACGGTATGGGGAGAGAGGGAAATAAGATGAGGGCAGGCAGAGGGCAGGGAGGGATGAAGGAGGGAGGGTGGCCTTTGCTGAGGAGCCATGACCTACACCGGACCAGAAACCTCTCAGAATGTCAGAGCTGGCCAGGGGCGCCACAGACAGGATGGCAGCTGGTGGCTGAGGACAGGCTCTGTGGCCCAGGGCTGCAGCGTCGTCCTTACCTCTAAATTCGTCCGTGCTCTCTTCAAGACATCATGGGTCCTCGTCACTGGAAGCAGAAAACCTCCTCACAGTGTGGGAATTACCAGCTGAGTCTGGCTTCCTTGGCACATGCATCCTAAAACACGCCCTCTGCCACTCAGTGTGGTCTGTCACTTCTAGCCACCCTCTGTACCCACCATCACCCCTCAGTCTCTCCCCTTTCAACATTCCCGAGTCCCTCTGGTCACTATTCCTCAGCTGCAAGACGGGGTATCTGGAAGAGCCCTCCCCGTGTGCCCTTCAGGGACACTTACGGTGTTTCACGACGTACTGTTCCAAGCTTTTCTTCTGCTGCTTGGCTGTCTTCAGCCGCTCATTGGTTCTCTGAAGGAGCTCTTCCTGTTGGGACACCTGGGCTCGCAGGTCCAGGAGTTCTTTCTCCATCAACTGTCCCCGGGGAAGAGGAACAGACTCAGACAACATCCACAAGGCTGCACACACCCTGTGCTTTTTAGCTCTTCTGGTCCAGCAGAAGGCTACCATCTTCTTGGGATTTTGTATTAAATCCCTTCCTTGAAGACCTCTCAAACCTTAGCGGGGCAGTGGTGATGCACACCTTTAACCCCAGCACTCAGATGCAGAGGCAGGTGGATCTCTGAGTTCAAGGCTAGCCTGGTCTACAGAGCAATTTCCAAGACAGACAGAAATATGCAAGGAGACCCTGTCACAAACAAACAAACAACAAACCTCTCAAACCCCAGCTGGAAACAGCTGAGGACCAGGCCGCCAGAGAGACACGGAGAAGCCAAAGCCTGCTAGGGAAAGCCTCGCTCTAGGCTAGCACCAAATCCCAACCAAAAGCAAGAGCTCTGTTCAGCCCTGTAGAATTTCCTTAACTCTTCATCTCAAGTGACACTTAGGAGTTCAGGGATGTTATATCCAAGAGATGGGACTGGACCAGTGGACAGTGGAAAGTTTGCAAATATCTGCCACTGTGGAGACATGAAAGCTCCTTGAATTGTCATGGCTGGGTCCACAGCCATCAGTACCAGTTATCTGCAGCTGGAACACCTCTGTCTAAGGTCTGCCGACCACAGCCCGCCGGAGAGGCAAGCAGACCCAGGCCTGGCCTAGAGACACGAACTTTAAAAACTGTTGAGATTCCAGAGAATGGCTAAAAGAGGCTCTCGTGCTATGATCTTTTGGTCAAGTGGACCTTGGAGGTGGAGGAAGAGTGCCATATTGTCAACAGGTCTCTCGATCAGCTCAAATTTCAGGGTACAAGCCCCAAGAAATCCCTGGATTCTGGGCTGATTACGTCTACTTTCCATGTTTTCCTTCTCTCTGATGTCTCATCAAGAGTTGGAGGGTGGGAAGAGAATGTGTGAGAACTGCTGCCACGAGGCAGCCATGATGGCTCAGGGGTCTCCCTCCAGGATGTTCCACGAAGATTCTGTCCACCCCAACTTGCCATATAACCCCTGACCGTTAAGAAAGCTGAAGGAGTTGGGAGCAGGGCCAGATTGGCATGGAAAAGGTAGGTTTTAACCAGCCGAAGACAGCCTCTTACCGCTTGGCCTACCAGTCCTGGACCGTGTGAGCTTGGCAAGGCTGCTCTCCAGAACATGGTGAGGAGGGATGCTGACTCGTCTAGGATGTGGTTCAGAGCTCTGGCACTGCTCTGCAGCTCACGGACACTTTTGGCACCTGGTACCTGGGAAGAGAGGACAGGCAGCCATGGATGTCACTGGAACTGGGGCATCCCAATTGCTCCAAGCACAGGGCTCAAGCTTCCTGTGTGAACACGCCCAGGACACAGGCCTGCTGGAAACCCTGGCTTTCCCTTACAGTTCCGGGACAGCGGGTCCCTTTGCCTGGAACCCTTCTCCCAGGATGCCCTACAAGCTTTCAGAACTCATTCTTGTGTGACATCCTTTATGAAACTGTACCTTCCTTGTCTGTGATGCAATCACAGAGGACAGCTCCTCACACTGTGCCTGTGGCACCTTATCGTGCATATCGACAAGGAACTCTAGCTTGCTCTTCAGTAGTGGGTCCTTGTAGACAAGGCTGTCCTATGCAAGCATCCATGGGTGGCCAGTTTCTCAAACAACACCGTCACTGGTGCCTGCTTCCTCCTAACTACTGCGCACACTGAAGAGCTTCGCCGGATGCCTCCCCTCTTCGGCTCGATCTGAATAGGGAAAGCTGCACTATCAAGTTTACTACCCTTCTGTGTACGCAGGTTCCCGTGGATGCCTGCCCACCGGACTGACTTTGATCTAGACATGGCCTTCTGCCAGCATTCCTATTACAGATAAACTACCGAAGATGATAACATAATGAATGGCCTGCTACGTCAACATTTTACAAGTGCTCTGTTACAAAGCACGGAGTCTCCGGGGTTCTCAGTCCGAGTATCAAGTCAGACTGGTCTGTCACCGAGTGGAGATGGGAGACAGGAAAGAAAGGTTCTGGCTGGAATAAACGTAAGTCACTTTCTCAGCGACCGGGAGATGCAAAGCATAGACGTAATGACTGTGCAAAGGAGGTAAAGTCAGGGGGAGAGAGGCCCCCAAGAGCGTCAGGTTCTTACCCCTATGTCCTGAGCTTCAAGGCCAGGGATGCTGCACGCTGGCCTCACAAGAGACAGGATCTTTTGGACCAGCAGCTTGCCTTCCCTGATCTGCTCTTGCAGAGCACTGTAGTCATCAATATGGCCGATGACATGTCGGCCATGCTTGTGGGCAAAGGAACCATCAACAGCATTGCCCACCAGCTTGGGAGGGTTCTTTATCACTGCAGAATCATCCAAACCCAGCTCTGAGGAGGAAACACAGACAGGGTCCACTGTTAGACATAATAACAACTTCCGGTGCTCTGCTCCAAAGGGACAACGAAAGAGGCAAGAAGCAAGTCAGCCTTCAAAACTACAGGATGGTAGAGTCCACAGAGCACTCTACGTCCTACGTGTTTATAACTGTTCTTAGGTCACTGTGTTAGACACATCATACCGTGTTGTGGTAGTGTTAATTGTCACCAGCCAGAATTTGGAATTACCTGGGAGGTGGGCCTCTGGGCATGCCCGAGGCGAATCATTCTGATGGCATTAGCTTACGTGGGAAGACTCATCTTAACTGTGGGCAGAACCATTCCCTAGACCGGGTGTCCCGAGCTGGAGACAGTGGAGAAGGCGTGCTAAGCACCAGCACATGTGTGCTCACTGCCTCTGATTCTGGTGCCAGATGCTATGTGACCAACTCCCCTAAGTTCCTGTGACTTCCCTGCCACAAGGACAGAGTGAAACCTGCAACAGTGAGCCAGCAGCAGCTCACTTACATTGCTCTTCTCTGGGAACGCTGTCACAACCGCAAAACGGATACTGTGACATTTTTTTCCACTGGTGAAACATGCAGGATACAAACTATTAATGAGGACGTTTCTGGGTAAAAGAGGAGCCAGAAATAAAGCAGCAGAATACAGAGGAGTCCCGCTGGAGAACAGAGCGAGACGACAGAAGAAGAATGCAAAACCAGAGTGGCAGGCGGGGAGAGTGTAGGAAGAAGGAGGAAGGCCGAGGACCGCGCAGAGGCAAGAGACGGAGAAAGGCCTCTGGACACAGGTGCCGCACGCACACAGGGCCAGCCGAGGGCCGTTGGCATCGGTCACGTTCCATCGATCTCAGTCTTCTCCTTGCTATAGTTACCATTTGTCCTGGTGATGATGGCAGGGTCTGAGCCAGGAACAGAGCGAGAAGAGCTGGGGAGGCCTGTGGCTGGAGAATTCAAGCCAACATCCCGGACTGGAGGGGACACAGCTGAACCTAGGGGGCGAAACAGGAGCCATGTCAGGTCCGCCCACATACCGCACACTGAGCCACGTGGTGCATGCGTAGCCCGAGACAGACCTCAGGCAACCAGCACCCAGAGGCCACAACTCAGAGATCCAGCAAAGCACTTGGCGGGCACTCCTCTGCGGAGGGTATGTTTCAGAAGAATGCCATGTCTAGTTGAAAACTTTGGTAAATATTTTATAAGCCCAATTTTGGATATAATTTGCATGTAGTATCTAGTACAATGCCTTGAACGAAATGTAATTGTACATAAATGTTCATGGTATGGATGTTAAAATGCTGAGTAAGGGCAGAGAGACAGGCTCAGTAGGAGAGCATTTGCCCCAGCACTGGAAAAAAAAAGAAGTTTACCAAAGAACGGTGAGGTTCATGAAGGCTTCAGTTCAGCAGTCTGGTTATCATTCTGTTAGTGCAGCAAAGTCTAGTCACTTGCTCTTGAGCCTGATTCCTCCCTAGGCTCCTGATCCTGACTCCTCGCCCTAGGGACCCTTGCTTGTCTATTAAATGTCTCAGGACTCCATCTTCTCATAGGAAATGCAGAGATGGGGGAAATGCCCTATTTCAGTGAAATTGTATATTTGACGACACCTGGTAAATTCTAAAGCACAACATAAATATGAAGAATCAATCCTTATTGACAATTATTGAATGCTACAGATAACCATACATGCTATTCTTATCAGTCCCATTTTCAAGTGGAGTAAACTAAGGGTTAAACATCTGAGAGTTTAAATACTTTGCCCAGAGCAGATAACCAGTAAGTAGCAAACTCGGGAGTCTGGAGACAGGCCTGATCCCCAGTGGAGGCCATGTAAAAACACCTCCCGTCTCTGCCTGAGGTGGCAAGGCAGTTCAGCAAGTGCCCTTGTGTGTGCCACAGACACCTCGGCTGGCAGAGGGCGCTGCTTCTCCCTCATCCTCACCTTGGAAGAGTGGCTGTGTGTTCGCAGGTTCCACCTCGGCTGAGGACTTCTGGCTAACAGAGGACGGGCTGAGATTGGCTTTGCCAGCACCACCGTCCAGCTGCTGTTCCAGCTGCAGCCGCAGACCATTGTTCACTTGAATGCTCTGCTCCAACTGCCCTCTCAGAGCTCGTATCTCCGCCACCAGGTAGCTTAACTCACTGGGGACTTGGTGGCAGGAATCCAGGCTGCAAGCTGAAAGAGGAAAGAGGGGGACCTAGGATCACTGAAGCATGTGTTTCCACGTATCAGTAAGAATGCTGCTCTGTGGCATTCCTTTCTGCCGAGGGTCCCAATGGAGTCTCAAGGGCTTGGCCACCCACCTGTGAGACAAAACCATTCTCATACAGCACCAGGAGCAGAGCTAGGGGGCCCCTGACTTCATTCTGCTCCTCATGGCGCCAAGTCCCCCACAAACTAGCCGTACATAAGATGTGGCCTCACCATGTGGACATCATATCTACACCACCATGGTCTCAGGTTGAGTGGGACTCTCAACAGTCTTTGCTCTACAATTTCCTTGCATAAAAATGATTCTGCCAACTCACCTGCCTTCAAACCCATGAGCAGCCTCAGAGCTGGGCCTCTTCATTCCATAGTTCTACCACTGATGCTTTTCTTAAGGGCACCCGGGCTTTGACCCAGCCGTTCATGTCAACAGTGCCCCACCCTTGGGCTTCACAGAGAAGGGGGAGAGGGTCCTCATACCTTTCAGGCCTGTCTTCGGAGTTCCACAGAGTGACTCATAGATCTGGAGCTCCGACTGCAGGGAGAGGGAGAGCTGCTGCTTTTCTTCACACTGTTGTTGCAGGAAGGCCAGCTTGTGCTGCAGCCTGCCAGGGAGAGGCAAGGGTTCACTGAGCCATGTGGGGGGAAAGGAGCTGCGAGCCGCCCTCTGCCTGGGGACTCTTAGCCCCAGCTGTCAACTCGTGGGGTGGGCTGGCCAGGCCATCACTTTCACTTAGCAGAGTCTGGGCCAGGTGAAGTAAGTCAGCCTGAAGTCCGAGCACTAGCTCCCTTTGCTGGCAGCAGGGCAAACATCACAGGCCCCTCGCGGGCCCTACCGTGCCCTCCTTGCTGACAGGCAGACACTGCGGGCATAGCGACTTGCAGGTTATGGAGAAAGTGATGTCTGTTAGGGGAAGCATGGGAATGCTCTCCTGCCCATCGCTGACAGACGGACACCTTTGCAACAGGACTTCATCTCTACTTTGTAGCACCCAAAGCTATTCTTCGTGCCCAATATGGAGTCTTCCTTTGGCTCCAAGCCAGCAGGGTGGCAGGAACAGCTGAGGGGAGACTGAGTTTTCCAAAGGAGGAAACTACCGTTTTTTTTTGCCAATATCACGTCTGCACTGAACGTGGGGGCGTGCCTTGTCAAGGCCCCGCCTACCTGGAGTCCTTTTCCTGGAGGGAGAGCCTCTCCTCCCGGAAATGCAAGATCTCTTCCTGCTTCTCCTGCAGGTCTCCCAGCAGCTGCTGCCTCTCAGCCTTCTGCCGCTCCAGCTCCTTCTCCAGCTCTTGAAGCTGGGACCGAGAGGAGAGCAGAGCCTCCTGCAGGCGGTCCACTTCCTGGGAGTGTCCTGATGAGCGGGACACAGGGGTCTCTATGTCACCGCCTAAAGCTCGGTAGAGAGTCAACCCCCAAACACATGTGAGGCCAGGGGAAGGAAGGAAGGTCCTGTGTGGGTGAGCAGTCTGGCTTAGGGGGCCCCCCCATACTGGGGGGTGTGGGTCTCTTTCATTGTGGTGTCTGACCCTCTGTTTAAGCACACCTGCTCTTGCCCTGAGGGAGAGCAGCATGTTCCTAAAGCTCAGTGTTTTCTAGACACTCAGGCAGCCACTCAGCTGTCCACCTTCAGTCTTATCAAAGACCAGCACTGATTTCTTGTTTATGGTTTTTAGAATATATCATCATTTTGAAAATTGGGACATTTTGGTGTTTTCTAGCCATGTGACATCTCTTTGATCAGAACTCCTTAAAAATGGTCTACAGGGACTCTTCATGTGAGGCTAGTCCTTGCATACAAGTGTACTCATTTGGGTGTCTGGCTGTTTCTCACCAGGGAGGCTGTTCTCTTCCCAGCATGCACTGGTAGGCTCTCTGCCTCCCCCTCATCCTTCAGCCTTAGTTATCTTCCCCAGCAGGGGCTTTGCCTCTCAAGTCTTCTTGTACTGGAGTAGCTACCTTAGAAATATCTCTTCTTGCCTTTTGCCTCCACAAGGATTCCTTCATTCTGGACTTAATCCTTTCATATACTGTTCTTAGCCTTTTAATAGCTGTTCAATAGATATTTGTAAATAAAAATCATGTGTTACTAGTCAGACATTGATTTAATCAAGTCAATTAATAACTAAGGTAATTTGCCTCCCAGGCCACATGGGAAATGATGCCCACTCATAGGTGACCATTAAGTAGGGTTGGGAAAGTTCTAGAGGACATGGAACCATAGGAGGACGGCCAGAGAGCAGCGGGAGGGAGGGATGTAGTGAGGAGGCAGGGGACTGGCAAACAGGACCCAGACAGCTGCCCACATCTGTACTTGTCTGGAGATGCATGAGAGAATACGGACACATGCTTCCTGCTGCTGTGGATCCCAGTCACTGTGAGCAGGTGGAAGGGGGCAGATTCCCAAATGACATGGCAGCTTGGTAGACAGCCAGCTGGATCGATGTGGGTGGGCTTTCAGAAGGAACGGGCTTCCTAGAGCCATTCAGTCCCAGAACCTCACATCGCAGCCTGAGGGCCAGGGTTGAGATGTCTTAGGCCAGTGGTTTTCAACCTTCCTAGTGCTGTGACCCTTTAATACAATTCCTCATGTTGTGGTGACCCCTCAACCATACAATTATTTTTTGTTGTTACTTCATAACTGTAATTTTGCGACTGTTAGGAATCGTGATGCAAATCTCTGTGCTTTCTGATGGTCTTAGGTGACCCCCGTGAAAACATTGTTTGATGCCCAGAGGGGTCATGACCCACAGGTTGAGAACCACTGTCGTAGGGACTAGCCCTTTGTAGGTAGATTAGCAATGTAAATCTTGGATTGGTAAATCTGGGTAGCTGTTACATCAGCCTTCTCTTTGCTTCTCCAATTGGTGATTGTCATGGCCAGGGTAGAAACAGACCTAGGGAGAGCTGTAGTTTGTGATTTTTGCACAACCCACCTCTGGAAGCATGACTGAGCTGAGCCTGCAGGCTTTGGTTTTCTTCCCTCAGGGCTCTGTTCTCACTGTAGAGCTGAGGCATGGACTCCAGGCCCTGACTGTAGAAGTGGGAGGTGGAGCCTGTCCCAGAAAACACACATATGTCCCATGTGAAAGATGCTTTTCCATTCCCTCAAAGATCTGCTGTCCTGACCCAGCAGAAATCTCTGGCCCTCAAGGCCTGGGGTTAACCTGAGCACAGTGGCTGGTGCTGAGTGGCACCTAGCACATGCAGGCACTGTGACTGCGTAGGAGGCGTTTTCTCCCTAACTGGCTGAGGTTGCTGTGTAGGGGCAGCAACTGCATGCATGAAAGGTGACCTCCAAATGACGTGGGGGGCGGGGCAGGGCAGAGGTGGGGACTAATGGCCTCCTAAGTGAAGTGGGTGGGGTGGGTCTTCATAGACCTGGCTCTACTGCTTACCAGCCAGCTACATATAAGCCGATTAAGGGCAAGAGGCCAGATCTTTGCCTGAGGAAAGTTGGGCTCTGAGCTCAGATACCTCCCACGATACTGTGGGACAGTCAAATGAAATAAAGAGTATCAGTGCTTAGAAAACTGGGAGGCTCTGTCTTGGGACATTTCCCATCATCCAGGACAGAGGCGGG